GTCCTTAATCCTCCATGACCAGAGAGCACTTTACAACTTATCTTTCTTGGCCTGCTTTTTCTCATGCTCATGCTGTGCCACGTACACGGGGTCTGAGGCCAGAGTGGAATAACCACTACTCACCCCACAATGAATGTCTCTAGATATGAACTTGTTAAATAGAAGGGCAGACTGTATTTTTTTTTAGAATTTTTATACTTTTTAAAAAGGTGAAGTTCACATAGCACAATTAACCATTTTATTCAGTGGCATTTATTTAGTACAGTCACAACGTTGTATAACCATCATCTCCATCTAGTTCTAAAACATTCCCATCACTCCAAAAAGAACCACTTACTCATTTATCGGTCTCCCCATTATTCCCTTCTCCTAGCCTCGGCAACCACCAATCTGCTTTCTGATTTTCAGCATTTTTAAAAATTAAAAGTGTAATTTATATTTGGCAAAATTCACACTTTTTAGTTTTTGGTTCTGTGAATTTTCACAAATACGTTAACTTGTGTAACCACTACCACAATCACGATATAAATTAGTTCCCTCATCTCCCCATGTCCCTTTAGGTCCATGCAGCTCCTGGTAACCACTGATCTATTCATACAACTCATAGGTTTGCCTTTTCCAAAATGTCATAAATGGAATCATGCAATATTTAGCCTTTTGAGTCTGGCTTCTTTCACTTACCATTATAACTAATTTTCTCGCTGTTGAGGTATATCTAGCTAAATTTATATACGTTAAATACACATCTGAGGGGAGGGGCTTATTAGGATCTGGGCGGGGACACCATTTCCAAGGCCTGCCAAGCATCCCTTTTGGCCAGGTGCAAGGCGCACACCATGGGCTTCATGCAGTTCCTAAGAGGGTCAACAGAGAGCGCTGTGGGCCTAGGACACCTGGCCCACCATGGGCGGCGGCTCCACCTCCTTCCGGTGCCCGCGAGGCTGTTCAGTTCCTAGACGCCAGAGGCGGGGTTTAGGGGTAAGCCCAAGAAAATGCCCCCTCCCACGACCTGCGGTGGCGCTCCGAGACCGTTGGCGGTCTCACCAACAGGCCACAGAAGTCAAGGGCTGGGCTGCGTGCCCTACCCTTTCCCGGGCTCGTCCCGCCCCACCCCTTTGGTGCGCATGCTCTTTGGTGCCTCAGGCCGTCTCGCGCGCACTAGTCTGGCCCCGCCCCGGCGCCAGGCGTCGGTGCGCTCTCACGCACGCTCCACGCAAATGCCGCAAATGTGCGGCTCCTGCGTTTCTCCCGCGCGGAGGCGCTCGCTGACTGTCTCGCGACTCCCCGCACCTCGAGTAAGCGCTGTGTGGACCCGAGTGTGGGAGCCTCGGCTGCCCGGCGGAAGCCCGGCGCGCCGCACTCGTTCCTGATGATGGTCTAGAGGGCGCAGTAGAAAAGGTGACATTAATTTTAATAACGTGTTTAATTATAATTCACAGTATCCGAAACACTGTCATTTCAGCACAGACGAATGTAAGAAACTACGCACGAAAACTTTTCCCGCTTAGTGTGGGGAGCTTGGTGTGCACCCTGCCCTGGCCATATCTCTGTGGTGTCGCCATGAGTCCAGGTTCAGGAGCCACGCGTAGGGCGGCGTGGGTCCGGACCAGCAGCCACGCGTGGGGCGGCGCGGGTCCAACCCTTGGGGGCACATGGGAGCCAGAGCTGGTGGTCAGAAGAGGACAGTGTCCTACAGCAGTGCAGACACTAGCCTGAAGAGAAAGAAGTGGAAATGTGGAAACAGGATCGTAGATCTCCAAGTCATGTTTAGAAGCTTAGACTTTATTTTTTGCGTGAAATAAAGGGGTCTAGTAGAGACATGATCAACCCAGCGTTCAACAAAACCTGTTTTAAAAACCATTTAATTAAAGTACTTATTGTATAGCATACACTCAAAAGAGGGAGCGTACCTTGTGTTTAGTTCTGTGAAATTTCGCAAACCGAATATACAACCATGTAGCCAGCACCTCACTAAGTCATCAAGTAGTTTGTTTTTGAAAACTTTTTAGAATTTGGAAATAGTTATAGAAATGTGCTGGGAAGTCCTGTGCACCCTTTCATCAAGCTTCCCCCAGTGTTAACATCTTGCACACCTAAATTACGACACAGAAACCAGGCAGTTGCTATTTGTGCAGTCTGTGAGGCTTATTCGGATTTTACCAGTTTTACATGCTTTCTTGTATGTGTGTACATAGTTCTGTACCATTTGCACTAGCAAATGTGAGAATTCGAGTTTCTCTGCATCCTCACAAGCACTCGACATTGTCAGATTATTCTTTTTTTATAGTCATTCTGGTAGGTGTACAGTGGAATCTCACTGGTTTTAATTTCTATCATAAATGAGTTTTATCTATTTTAGATATTCGTACAACTCATATAAGTATATAGTTGACCCTTGAACAACATAGGGGGTTAGTGGTGCTGACCCCTCCCCGCAGTCGAAATCCACGTACTTTTGACTCCCCTGGAAACTTTACAGTTGTCCCTCTGTCTCTGTGGAAGTTTGGTTCCAGGACTCACAGCCAAAATACCAAAGGCTCTTATATAAAATGGTGTAGAACAATATGTACAGTCGACCCTCGGAATCTGCGGATTCCCAACCTCAATTGAATATACTGTTTTTGATCATGGTTGGTTGAATCCAAGGATGTGAAATCTGGGGATATGAAAGGCCAATGGTATATTTATCGAAAATTCATGTTTAATGGATACACACAGTTCACACCCATGTTGTTCAAAGGTCGACTATATACTCTGGCTTCTTTTGCTCAACATAATGTCTCAGATTCATTTATGTTTTTATGTATATTAGTTTTTTATTGCTAAGTGTATTCCATTGTATGACTATACCACAGTTTGTTTAGCCATTCACCTAGTGATGGACATTTAGGTTGTTTCCATTTTATGGCTACAGGGAATGTATTTTAGTAGGTACTGTCCCACGAATCAATTGTGGCAGTTCCCCTTCTGCCACCAGTATGTGAGGTGGTAAGGTGGCAGTGAAGAAGATACATCCTAAGTATGTGCCATTGACCGTCTTTGCTGGTGGTTTCTTTGGGAGAGCCTGGGCATTTCTCTGCTGGTGGTTTCTGTGGGAGAGCCTGGGTATTCCTGGTGGCTTCTCTACCTCTTTTAAGGGTCTCTGTTAGAGATAGACTTCATGGGTAATGTCTGTCTGCTCCCAAGCTCTCAAGGATGGTTACATTGTACTGTGTTCTCTTTAAGAAGAGCCTCAGAAGAAATTCCTGTCAAGTCTCAGTAATAGAAATAATTTCACTTCTCCTGAGCAGTTGGTTGGTTCTTATTTTAAGGACACTGTGAATTGGCAAGTGATCAAGTTACACACATGTGAGGGACTTACGAAAGTAGTGCCATTTGCTTTTGTATCAGCCTTGTGAATGGCTCTATTTTGTGTGCCTGCCTTTGTGTGGTTTTCTTCTACTGTTACTTCCAATTCTCGCTTTCTTGATGTATTTTATGAGTACTTGGAACCCATCTTTATGCTCTTATGGTAGTGGAGGATGTAATAAATGTTTCTTGTATCATGAATTGGGGGCATCTTTGGCAGCAGAGTAGTTGCCCCAGCTCTGTGAGATGTTTGAAGGACCATCTAGTGGAACGGAGGGGCCTTCCTATGACCTTGGCCTCCTTAGTGGTTAATTAAATGGCCTTAGACCAGTATGTAAAGCATATGCAAATCCTCCAGTTGCCTCTTGGAGCTGGCTAGCCACACACTCTTTAGCCTCAGATTTTGTCGGCTTTGGTGCCCCCCCCCACCATCTGAGTCCATCCCACTGTCCCTTCTTTATCCAGCTGCCCCTTTGTGTTTTCCTGTATGTTACTGTCCCTGTGGCATTTGTCTTTTTCACTCTCTTAAGTTCTGCTTGCCTTCCTGTGCCCTACAAGTCCTGAGCTGGGGTGGGGTTAGCACCATCTCTTGCCTTGATTTCCTCGCTTCTCCTGTCTTGCTGAGTTGCAGGTTTCTTCTGTTGATTGACAAGAACATGTGCTGACCTAGAGGAGTGGGTAGGACTGGATGGAGGCTGCGGAACAGGACCAGACCTAAATCTCACAGCTGTATGAAGGAATGAGCTCCCAAACCTGCTCTCCCCAACACACCCCTGGTATTGAAAAGGAGCTAAGAATGACAGCTGCGGAGTTTCCTGAATTAGGGGACCCAAATCACAGGTTGTCCTGGGTGCAGCCTGTCTGGGTGGACAGCCTCAGGATCAAATTTAATAGGAAATGGGAAAGTGATTCAAGAAGGCTGTGGGTACTACACATGTATCAGAGATTAGTTAGTTGATACTGGTCTCTCTCACATTGTCTCTCGCCTTGTGGGAGATAGAGCGGATGCTTTGAAAATTCTGGTTGCAAAGAGAATTGATGAAAATCTCCTGTTCCCTTGTATATAGAAGGAAATATCAGTGGGCCTGGCTAGGCACTGGGGATGAGTGGAGGACTCCGTATTTCAGATCAAAGAAGAGGTGGTCTCCATTCCCCATGGGATCCTTGTGGTGCGTGTTCCTGGCTTTGAGTGGGAAGGCGAAGTAGCAGATGGGGAGGAGATCTGGAGCACTGTGGCTCATTCTAGACCCAACATTGTGTTCAAAACAATGGAGTTGGTGCTCTCTTTAGTGAGTTTTCTGTCAATGGATGTTTTCAAACAGGCTGGATATATATATCTGTCAGTTATTATGGAGGAAATCCCTGCTTTGGGTGGAAATGCAGGTCCTTCTAAGGTAGGCAACATATAATTATTAAGATAGATGGGAAAATATGCTCGATGAGAGTTACTTGCTGCGCCGTGTTAGTATTGATCCAGACGCGGAGGCCTGCATTGTTAGGGTCCCACTCCATCGCCTGAGCCCCCTTGAGGAACTGTTTGAGGAATAGATTAATCTAGCAAGTCAGTTGCCAAAAGAGGGACTAAACTACAGGAACGGTGTGAGGGTGAAGACCTTTAGGCTGAGGGCTCTGGCAGCTTCTGTCTATGACTAGGCTGGGGATAGAGGGGGTTTTGCCCTGGGAAAGTAGCAATGGTGATGGGTGATGTGGGATGAAACCAGTGTGGAGATTTCTCAGGGATAAGTAAGGTCTGTTTAAGAATTTATGACCCGAGAGCTTATCTTCAGTTGAATCTACCCCCTTTTTAATCTCTCTTATTTTCCAAAAAGAGTGTCTTATTTTATTCTTCAATTTTAAAAAACTGTAGTAAAAAAATATATGTATAACATAAAATTTATGGTTTTAACCATTTTTAATGTACAGTTCAGTGGCATTAAGCATTCATGATGTTTTGTAACCATCACCACTTATATCCATCTCCAAAACTTTTTCATCATTTTAAGTAGAAACTCTGTACCCATTAAACAACAACTCACATGCTCCTTTCCCCCCAGACACTGGCAACCACCATTCTACCTTCTGTCTATGAATTTGCCTATTCTAGGTACTTCATGTAAATCAAATCATACAATATTGTCTATTAAGAGTTGAATTATATCCCCCCCAAATTCACATGTTGAAGTCCTAAGAATGTGACTTTTTGGAGATAGGGTGTCACAGAAGTAATTAAGATGAAATGAGGTCATGTGGATGAGTCTAATCCAATATGACCATTGTGCATGTAAGAAGAGGCTATTAGGACACATTGCACAGACTGAGAAATGATTATTTGAGGACACAATGAGAAGGTGGCCATCTGCAAGCCAAGGAGAGTGGCCTCAGGAGAAACCAAACTTACCCACACCTTCATCTTGGACTTCCATCCTCCAGAACTATGAGAAAATTAATTTCTGTTGTTTAAGCTCGCTAATCTGTGGTATTTTGTCATGCTAGCTTGAGCTGACTAATATATTGTCTTTTTGTAACTGGCTTATTTCACTTAGCATAACATTTTCAGGGTTCATCCATGTTGTGGCACATGTTAGAATTTTTTTTAATGGCCGAATAATATCCCATTGTATGGGTAGATTATATTCAGTTGATCCATTCTTCTGCTGATGGACCCTTGCATTGTTTCCTCCTTTTAGGTATTGTGAATAATGCTGCTTTGACCATAAGTGTATAAGGTTCTGTTTGAGTCCAAACAAGGGGTCTTTAAATCAAATGCAGTTAATACCTTAAACTGTGCTAGGTGAACCCTTTCCCTTCCTGCGTGGGTTGGGGTTCCATGCTTTCTCTGACTCTTCAGCCTGTGCCCTTTCCCTGTCCCCATGCTTCCCACACACCCCTCTACCCTTTTCCCTGATATGCTGATTCCTCCCTGCCCTTGACAGTATTCACTTGGACGGATGGGAAATGTCATGGGTTCGTGAGTCAGACAGATCACAGTTCTGGTGCAGTCAGCTTTATTCCTTGTTGGTGATGTTGAACAGGTCACATCAGCTCTCTGAGCCCCGCTTGGTCTTGTGAAATGGTGAAATAGATTCATCTCTCATCACATGTGAAGTACCTGGCGCAGAGTGGACACTTTATTGACTTTGACTTCCTTTCCTCTCCATGACCAGGTGCTACCTCCTCCCCTCACGCTGGCCCCTCTCCCCAGCCGTGAACATGGATTGGAAGAGTCAGCAGTGTAGTAGTCAGGATTCTCCCGAGAAATAGAATCAATAGGGTGTATATTTATAGAGAGAGATTATGGGTACTGGAAAGTCTGAAATCCACAGGGGAAGCCAGCAGGCTAGAAATTCCACTGAGAGTCAGGGTTGCAGTGGAGTGCGAAGGCCGTCTGAGGCGGGATTCTTTCCTCCTGTAGAACCTCAGTCTTTTCTCTTGGACTGATTAGATGAGCCCCACCCACATTATGGAGGGTGAGCTGTTTTACTCAAAGTCAACTGTTTTAAATGTTAATCACATCTAAAAATACTTTTACAGCCACATGCAGACTGATATTTGACTAAATAACTGAGCACCATAGCCTAGTCAAGTTAACACAGAAAATTAACCATCGCAATTGATAACTTGTCATTTCTCTTCAAAGTGGTCTATAGATTCATTGTAATCCCAATTAAAATCCAAGAAGGCTTTTTAAAAAAAAAATTGATAGGTTGATTCCAAAATTCATATGGAAGTTCAAGAAAACTAGAATAGTCAAAACAACTTTTGAAAAGATCACAGTTGGAAGATTCACACTACCTGATGTCAAGATTCATTAGGAGGCCTGGTGATCAAGACAGTGTGGTATTAGTGAAAAAATAGACATATATAGATCAATGGAGCAGAATGTAGTCCAGAAATAGATTCATCTCCATCAGTCAATTGATTTTCAAAAAAGGTGGAAAGGCAATTCAGTGGAGAATGGTGCTGGAACAACTGGACATCCATATGTAAAAATCTAAACTTGCTCCATATTTTGCAACATATTGTTGAAAAGTAGGACAGACTGGATCATAGATCTAAATGTAAAATCTAAAACTATTAAACTTTTGGAAGAAACAGGAAGAAATCTTTGTGACCTTGGGTTAAGAGTTCTTAGGTATGACACCAAAAGCATAATTCATAAAAACAAATTGATACACTGGACTAGATAAAAATTAAGAAATTTTGCTCTTTGAAAGACACTTGAGTAAATGAAAAGACAAGCCAGAGACTGGAAGAAAATATTTACAAATGATATAGCTGAAAATGGCTTGTATTATATATAAAGAACTTTCAGGACTCAATAAAACAACTTATAAAAAATGAACGAAAGATTTCAACAGGCATGTCACCAAAGACACCAAAAATGTGGATGACAAATATGAATATGAAAACATTAGTCAGTAGGAAAATGTAAATTAAAACTACAATGAGATATAGCTACATACTTATAAGAATGACGAAAATTTAAGAGACTGACCATACCAAATGTTGGCTAGGATGTGGAGGAACTGGTGGTGGGAACATAAAATGGTATAATCATCTTTGAAAGATGTTTAACAGACACCTACAGTGTGACCTAGCCATTCCACTCCTTGGTATTTACCCAAGAGAAATGAAAGCATATGTTCATAAATTTAATTGGATATGAATGTTCATAGCAGCATATTGGTAATAGCCAAAACTTGGAAGCAACCTAAACGTCTCTCAACAGGCGAATCAATAAATTGTGGTTCAGTAAGTCCTTACTTAATGTCGTCAGTAGGTTCTGTGATTTTAAGCAGAACAACATATAACAAAACTAGTTTCACTATAGGTCAATTGATATAAGTGAGTTAAGTTTCTATGGCATCTCACCAACATAATGAAATGACATTGAACAAAACATTCGAGGGCCTGCTGTACATCCACACAATGGAATACTATTAAGAACAAAAATGAATAAACTATCGATACATGCTACAACATGAATAAATCTCAAAATAATTATGCTGAGTTAAAGAAGACAGATAAAAAAAGAACACGTACAGCCATGATTCCATATATATAAAAATCTAGGCAATGCAAACTAACGTGCAGTGACCACAGATCAGTGGTTGCCTGGGAAGGGGTAGAGGGAGCAACTACGAAGGGAGAGGAAGAAAATTTGGGAGTGAAGAATCTGTTATTTTGATTGTGGTTATACTTATATGTCAGAATGTGTCAAATTGTACACTTTGAATATGCATTGTTTGCTGTGTGTCCATTACAGGTTAATAAAGCTGTTTTAGAGGTAAAGCACATAGAAGATACCTAATCGACTCTTGTTCCTTTCCAAGGTGGCCGACTGCTACTCTCACAGTGACACCCTCCCCCAGCCAGACAAACCAGTGTCTACTTTCCCTCGGCTTCACAGATCTGGCTCTCAGGGGCTGTCACATGCCCTTTGAAAATTGCATCAAATAGCACATTGCAGAGGCAGCAAAGGTTCTGGAACCCCTGCACCATGGGAAATGGATCTCTGTCTCTCCACCCTTTGACTTACATCACATCGTCAGACAAGTCTCCTCACTCCCCCTTTTTCCCTTCCCATCAGCATTCTGTCTCTTCCAGAGGCTTGGGAAAGTTAATCTAGCCAGCGACATCAAAAGTCAGAGGTTGAAGGTTTTCCTTAACTAACCATTAGGGCTTTACCCTCCTGACCTTTGGGGAGGGGCTGAAACATATCAGTGCCTCTCAAATAGGGTCCTTGTCACTTAGCCTTATAACTCCCTCGGTCAGAAGATTGAGGCACGTCAAGGTTGTTGACTTGCCGCAGACTTTGTATCAAGTTAGTGCAAATACTGGACAAATTCAGCAAATACTGGACAAATTCAGATTCCTAACTCCCAGACCTAACCCAAGGGATGCCCCCGCCCTCACCCTCCCACCCCCACCCTGTGACCCATGTCATGTGACCCCAGGGCTGCTAGGGGAGAGACTCCAGCAGAGGCCCTGCCTTCCAGGGCCTGGCAGCTGGCACAGGAGTGGCAGAGTGAGCCTCCGAGCAGCCTCGTGGGGTCTGCACTCCTTCTCCATCACGTCCGCCCAGTTGCCCTAGTGACTGTGTGACCCTTCTCCCCCGCCCTCACTGCCACCAGCCCTATAAATAGAGGCGAGGAGCAGCTGGGCTCTCTTGGCAGTCACCATGAGGGCTCTGGTCCTGCTCTGCTGCTTTGTGGCGTCGCTCCTGCTCCCAGGACAAGCAGGTATGACCCCACCCCTGTCGGCCAGGCCAGACTGCAATCCCCAGTCTGTGGTATGGGGGGCTTGGGTGGTAGTTGGAGGATGAGGCCTCTGATTCTTGGGGCTGATGGCTTGTCTCATATCGTCCCCATACTCCTCCCTGGGGCCCCGGAGAAAGAACTGGGTGTGGAGAGAACCCGAGAGCAGCCAGTGGGCTCTCCATGAGGCCGGAGGAAGCAGAAGCAGTGAACTGAGAGGTGCAGGAAGGTGTGAGGCCTGAGCTAGGGGCCAGAGAGAAGGTCTGGCCGGTAGCTGCTGGAGAAGAGAGCCCCAAAAGTCAAGACTAGCAGAGCCTCCTGGCCAGACCAAAGAACCCAACCTTGGAGCAGGAGGGGCTCCTGGAGGTAGTTGAGTTGCCCCTCCCACCTGGTGGTGATCTGGTGGGAGGCCTGGCTTTGCATGATGGAAGACAGGGGGCCATACTGGGCAGAGTCCGGAGTTGCCTGGGGAGCAGTGGGATAGAGTGGGGGTCAATTTGGGATGGGATTGGAGATAGAGTTGGAGCTGGGCTAGAAACTGAGTTGGACAAGAGTTCGGATGTGGAACAGGACTGTTCTGGAGCAGAGCTGGGCTTGGCTGGGCTTAGTTAGAAGGGGCTGGGGGCCAGTGTGCCATGGTCTTCCTTTGACATCTCAGCACTGTGTGTGGCAGAAGTAGCTCTGGTTGCAGCATGGGGGTTATTTATAGGTGTAGAGGGGACACCAGAGCATTTTGCCACCTCTCTGTTCCTGAGATTCCTGGGGCTGGGTTCCCCTTGGAGATGCTTCTGGGGTTCTCTGGGGACTCCCTTCCCCAGGAATCTGGGACTCTGTTTTATCTATTCACGACTCTGTAGTCTTTATCTGCACAGGGGACCATGGAGTCAGCGTCCTAGCCTCTCTGATCTTTGAAGTTCTGTTTCTTGAGGTCCTAGCCCCAGTCAGTAGAGCAGGTGGCAGGGGCAGCAGAAGCTATTACCTCAGGAGTTAGAGATGAGGGTGGGGGGCTCAAGCTTCATATGTGCTGCTGGGCCCTGCCCTTGTCTGCCCTTGAGTTAATTTGGGCTCCATGGGCTGCAGTGGCTGGAGTGGTGAGGATTCCAAGCGGCTGTCAGGTGGCTAAGTATGGAAACAGCCGTGTAATTGGATCCTAAACCCAGAGCCAATGCCACCTTCTCCCCTTTACGGCCCCTCCTCTGCTTCTCCCAGCCCCAGCTGCCACCTCTCTCTGCTTCCACACAACAGGCCTAGGAACTTTTAGCCTTTTAGGGACATCCTTTGTCTTTCCTCTCAGCGAGGGAACTGGACATCTGGAATGTTCCACAGGCCTCACTGGGAATCTTGCTCTAGGGAAAGGAGGCAGGTGCTTTGTTTAAAGATCCTCTCCCTGTGCGCTCCTTCCTTCTTGGACTCCTTGGTGTGCACTGGCCTGGCTTCCAGGGAGAGGTAGTCCACCAGCAGGCAGGGTTCCCTCCCTCCATGTCCTGCTCACACTTGGGCTATAGATTCTTACCCATGTGGATTTGATCACTGCTTTGGTTATAGGTTGTATACCCCAAATGGCTTTCTCCTACACCCACTGAGAGGTTCCAGCCATAAGGGTGGCTTACCCCTACCCCCATATTGACAGTCTTTCCTACTGTCCATCCAGTAAGTGTCACCCGGCCCACAGCAACTTTGCTCCTGGACTTCCCGCCCCACCACTGGGTCCTCATTTTCATGCCTTCTTCTCATCCCTTCTTCTTATCCCCAAGTAAGGGACCAGGCATTCTTCCTGATGCCGGGATGCACATGGAGCCACCAGGTTCCTGTCACCAGACACCTCCTACCCCCTGCCCCCAGTCTTTTGTAACTACTGGGGTTCTTTTCTTTGTCTTGGGGAACTGGCCTGGGGACAGGCCTGCTCAAGGATGGAAAAGCAGGCTTTAGTCGATTTACTCTGTCACCTCATTGTCCAGGTAAGGGAACAAAAGCCAGAGGGATGAAGAGATGTGTTCAAGGTTAGACAGTGAGTGAATGACAGGCACACGTAGTCCAGGGCTAGTCTTACTTCATCTGGAAGTTCCTGTCCCTCTCTGGCCTCCCTGAACTACTCTGCCTGTTGGGGTGTATGAGGGGTGGTGAGGAGGCTGCCTTCTGGTAGCTTCCCCCAGGATGCAGGACAAAAATGATGCCATTGGTCCTTTGACTTCTTGGAGGGCGGGGTAGGATAGGGGGTGCTGAGAAAACATTTATTTGGGTTTAAGCAGTTGGCATTTGGTAGGCTGAATTCGGGACATCTTTGCTTCCTGTTGCCTGCTGGATACAGAGACAGGTTGGGGACAGATGAGGTGGGGTGATGCTCTGAGTCTCTGCATACTTCATCCTCCAGCCCAGCCCTGGTTGCAGATGTGCAAGTCTGCTCTGCCTCCCACCATAAAATCCCAATGGTGAGAGGTTAGTGCACGCTGGGGCTGACCCACTCCTCCATGAGAGACGAGGGTATATGGTGACCACCAGGAATTGTGCCCTCTTGAAATCCCCTCCTCACCCACCCCAGGCTTGTTTTTTTTTCTAGAAAGAGGCCTGTTCACATTTCCTAAACAGGGCTGTGCAACAGCTATGATCTACCATGGGGAGGGCCAGCCAAGAGTCATGAGCTTGGGGGTTCTGAGGAAAGAGCAGACCCTAAAGCCTTTCCAGCCCCCTGCAAGCTGTGTCCCCAATGGGCTTCCGGTTTCTAGCTCAGTGCAGCTGGACAAGCCTGTAGGGAGTATCTAGTCCACCACTTTCTCCCATAGAGTTTGCGAAGTACTAGTCTGGGATTCGCTAATGGATGCATCCTCCCAGATGTGGACACCTTGCTTGGCAGCCTGTGAAATGGCATTTTGGAAATGCTGTTTTTGCTTCATGTCTGGGTGTGACAGTGAAGGTTGAACAGCTAGTTCATGACAGGGCCAGAGCTGGAATTCAGGTTTCTTCACCTCTTGTCCAGTGCTTTTGGCCACTTATACCCTCAGAAGGAAGTTCCCATGAGGCCAATTGCATCTGCCTGGCCATTTGGTGCTCATTGGTGATGGGCTGGGATAGAGCCTGGTCCCTATGGGCACAGGAGAAAGATGGCTGTTCCTCTTCTGACCTGGTCTGAGGGGCCAAGGATAAGACCTAGGTGCTGTGTCACCTGGCCTGAACTTGGGGGTAGTAGCTGGGGGCATGGGAAGGAGTGGGGTCTGCTGCTCTGGAATGCTGGGCTAAGCCTTCTCTCCTGGGCACCTTTGCTTCTCCAAATTGAAATCCAGACACACTCATGGTACAGCCCCTTCATTTAAATATTGCTGGAGTGTGTAAAGCCCTTTCAAATACCTTGCCACATTTCATCATTCATCCATTCCATATTCATTGCATATCTACTATTTTTCAGGTGTGGTTCTGGGGCAATTCAGATAAGCATCTTGTCCTCGGTGGGCTTACAGTCTGGTAGATGAAACAGCGTAGTCTGCCTCGGGGCTCCATGTGCACAAAGCAGACATGTAGAGATGTTGGGAGGAACAGGTGAAGTGAGGTGGGATGCAGGGTAGTGGGGAGGTTATTTTTAACTGAGTGGATCGAGAAATGTTTTATAGATGAGGGAATGTTTGACCTGAATCTTGTAGAAAGTAGATTCATATGTGAAAAGATGGAAGGATGAGAATTCTACATAAAGGAACTGGATAAACAAACTCAGGAAGTCAAGAAAGAATGGAGCTTTGGGGAGAACCAGGAAAGGACACACTGTTCTGCCTGGAACAAGGGCAGGCAAAGAGAAGTGCGGGTCGTGTGAAGGGCCTTGAGTGCGGGGCTGAGGACAAGGGCTTTGTTCTGTGGGCAGTGGCTATCACTGAGGGCTTCGGAAGAATTCACCTAGCAGTTGTTTGTAGGGAGGAGTGTAACAAGGGGAGATTGATCAGATAGACAATTACGTCAGAAATGCAAGTAAGAGGGTGTGAGCTCCAGCGAGGAAGGAGCCCTCCTGGGTTTAGTGCAGGAACATAAGAGAAAAGAACAGATTTAAAAGTTCAGTTTGTATCATTGTGAATTTCAGGTGCCTGTTGAATATTCACACGGAGACATTTAGCTAGAAAGGTGGGACTGGAGCTGAGGAGGGAAGTCAGGCCCAGGGGTCCAGAATGAGATTCATTTGGGTAAAGATGAGGGTGAGGCTGTGAGATCGCTGAGGGAGCTGTAGATTTGGGAAATGGAAAGAACACGATAAATGGACTTCAGGGAGAGAGAGTGACCCAGAGGCCAAGGGAAAGCATGCCTCCTAGAAGGGGCAGGCAACAGGATCTGATACCAGAATTGCTGAGGAAGAGAAGGCGCTGGCTTTGCCATGCAGGAGGTTGCTGACATTATGAGGGGCCTATGTGGGTTCAATGAGGATGCAGAGGCAGCATATTCAGAAGGTGAGACTTTGCAAAAGTGAGTGGGTGGGTTTGCAGAGGCAGAACGTTTTCTTTTTAACGCTAGAGACGACTAAGTGTGTTTGTGGGCCAATGGGGAGAGGGGGGGAATGTGACCGGGATGTTAGATGCTCGAGGAGTGAGGACGAGGTCTGACATAGATCTTAGGGGATACACATGCCATGGCACTGCAGAGCCTTCAGAGGGACACTGAACATTCAGATGGACTCAGTAGTCCCGGTGCCAGTCAGGGAGCTGAACTAGGGAGTAGGGAACCTGGTCTACGCTGGGGATTGCTGTGGAGGGCCTGGAAGGCCACAGAGGAACCAGACTGATCTTCCCAAGAACCCAGAGAGGTAGAAAGCACTGGGACCAGCCTGGAAAAGCACTGGGCAGAGCCTGAAAGACCTGAGGCCCAGAGATGAAGTCAATGAATCAGCAGTTTAGTCACAGTAAATACTTTCTCACTGTTGGTGAGCCCCCTGCCCCCAGGCCAGATGCTGTAGAGAATTAGAGGGCAGAATTTGACCTCATCTAAGGCATCCATTCAGCAAATGTCCACTGGGT